TTTTTTTTTTTTCGATTTAATTCTTCTGATGTTGCTGTCGTTGTTGCTGCTGCTGTCTTCAGATTCTTGACACTAATAAAACATAGTTCAGACCTAGAAACAGCGGCAATATCAGAAGGGTTTTTTTTTTTTTTTTTCTAGATGGTTTCTGCAGTAGTCATCCGTGTTAATGCAATTTGTTAAATATCAGTGCAGAGAGAGTGAGGTGCACTAAGTGTCTTATTGAGCAATGCTGAACAGTTTTGATGATAAAGCAGCTAATTTAATGTAACTTTTCGTTTCTCACACTAATCCGTCGGTCGATTGGCTGACTGATAACTGTGTTTAGCGAATGGCTGTATTGGCACAGTTTGTGTTGGTTGCTTTTTCTGTTGTTGTACATTTGACGCCATTGATGTTAATGTGACACACATTGGGTTCTATTTGCATTGCAGTTTTTTCAAATTTCTTTCTCTTTTTTTTTTTTTCTGTCTAACTCAATCTTAGCATCAATTATGGTATGCAAGTAGCTTGTTGAGTGTAATCAGTTTTTTTTGCCTTTAAATACAGAACTGTTCTGATGTTCTGTTTTATTTTGCTGTTTTTTTTTTTTTTTTTTCTTGTGCTTCTACAATTTTTTTGTTTTTCATGGTCATGGGAATGTTTTTTTTCTTTGCTTTCTTCGTGCTTTTGTTTCATAAATGCTTGGCTGCTAATCGTAACTTTGTTAATGTGGTATGCAATATGTAAATTTGTTATGGTTTTTTTCTTGAGACAAACATCAGTAACAATACTGTTTTTCTTTTTGTTGATATTTTGAGATTTAACATTTTTTTTGTAATCTTTTTATGGAAGTTTTGTAATATTTCATCTTTTTTATTTTTTTTTGTTTTGTTTTTGTTTTTTGTTCTGGGATATAGCGTTGTTAGTCAGATGTAAAACTAATTTAGATTCTTTTGATGCGAGCGAATGGATTTATTGTATGCAGTGCAACCATCGAAGAAGCTGTTTTCCTAACACAAAATTTGATTGCTGCCTGTGATCATCAGGTTTTCCTCCACTGATTTTTCTTAGACACTTTATTTCTGTGAATGCTTCGTATTAGGTACATTCGTGTTCCTAAAATTGGAATCCCATCTCTGAATCTGTAGCAAATGATTTTACATTTTGGATATCATGTATGCATACTCTTCATTGTTATCACGAGCCTTAAGTGTTTTTGTAGCGGCGTACTAGAGACCACTTTTTTGTATTTCTCTTCTGTTTATAATTTTTTTCTGCTTTTTTGAATCACGTTATTGATACACCACACCGGGTTTCAAGAAGAAGAAAAGGACAATTTTTTTATATTTATCTCGATAGAGCAGTTGTTGCAGTTGTGCATTAAGGAAAAAGACTGGAAGTGTTCATTCCTCACCTAGATTTATTGCAGTTCACTCGTTCCATTTGAAGGATATCCGTCTTGTCTTCCTAGACTTTTTGACTTTACTCTAGTTGTGATATGAACTTTATTTTCTACTTTGGAATCTGAAATTACTGGTACTGCTGTGATCATAGGCACTGGTCATAGTTTTAAATTAGCATTTAGTTTGCACTGAACTCTATCTCTCTGCTGAATGTGATATGTAATGGTCTGGTAAATCTTAGGCAATTACTGGTGAATTAAACTTATTTTTCAGGTAAGAGCTGCTCGAGCGGGTATTGAAAACTTGGTTATTCCCGATGAAAAGGCTGTTGAGAAAGTTAGGAGGTCGTTGAAACGTGGAAGTTGGTTTACAACTTTAACTCACTGTTATCCTTTGCACTTACTTTCTTAGTATCTACACTCTCGTGTAATCACTTTACTGCGTTTGGTAGGACCGTGAATTAGCGGGTTTTTCTTACGTTTTGTGTTTACTGCGTATTTTCTATAACTGAGAGTGTCATTTTTTCATTCCTGGCTTTAGAATGATTGTACAGTCATAAAAGGACTACTTTTTTAGCCGTAATTGCAATCATGTTTCATTCTTTTAGTTACCGAGTTAAACAAATCACCGTCCAAAACTGCAGAGAATAAGCGAGTTGAATGGAAGGTTGGGGAACTAGAATGGGAGGCATGGATGCGAGTACTCGATACCGCTGTAATTTTCTCACTGTTTTGGAACCATTTTAAAAAGCTTTTTGTCTTTTGTGGACTTTCTGTTAGTTCCTCTGCGGATTCTGTTAAAAATTTCAATTTTTCTTGAATTAGGCTTTGAGGATATCGTCTGGATTTTCAGGGGTTTCGCACTGGACATTTATACAAACAACCTCTGTTTCGGAAACCAGTAGCTTCCGTAACTGGAGAGCAGAGCGATGTTGCAGTACCTCCGACAACGACTGCAATGGGAACGGTACTTGTTTTTGTGTTATTAGGCTTGGTTGAACTGAAGGCTATTAAAAAGCTTTTATCAGTGTTCTTAGGTCGTGTATAATACATTTTTAAAGGTTGAATCGCATTAACAGTAGCAAACAGACTTTTGTATAGGTTGATGAAACTGATTTGGAAGCAGTGACTGCTCATAAAATAGCACTGCTTAGAAAAGAGCAAGAAAAAGCTCGATGGCTAAATTCACCTAATGCATATCAGAAAGTGGAATTCTTGGAAACTGGAACTGATAATCCAAAAAAAATAACAAAGGTTAGTTTCTTTGTTATTTTTACTTGACATTTCTTTTCTACCTTTATTCGTTTAGTGGGTGCAAGACTCTGCCTCACCAACTCATAGTGGAACGGTTGTAAAAATTAGCTCTCCTCACCAATTCAGTCCTGTGGCACTAAATCCAAAGGAATTTAAAGAGAAGCAAAGAGCAATAAAAGAGAACCGGTTAACGGGTGCGACTTCCGCTGGACCCCAGTCACAGATTTTGGATGGAGTTTCTTATGAAGAAATGGCTCAGATTAGAGCGGTAAATTTTTATTGGTTTTTGAACGTCATTTAATTAAGAAAGGTGGCAGATGTGTTAGTCTTCATGCATTTTTTCGTTGTGAATTGGAAAAAATTTTATAATTTATGTTGTATTAAGGTACAGATCATTTCCTTTTTGTCTGATTGTTACTTTAGGACGCTGAGACTAGCGGGATGGGGCAGACAGATCGTGTAGTTATGATTGGTACGGCTAGTAAAGGTATCATCGAACGGCAGCATCAGCATAATGCCCAGGTGAAATATTTACTTTTTTTTAGTGTCATTAGCAGAGAAAGTTTGATTTATTTCTTCCTCGGTTCCTTTTCTTCAACTGATATAATTGGAGCTGATTTTTAATTCTTTGATGAAGGATAATTTTCGCTTCCTGCTTTCACTTGGTTCTATTGCAGTAAAGCGATGTATTTTGGCGTCTTTTGATTCGCGTTTGAAATTCTGATTAGTTTTCAGGTATACAGGCAGCTTTACGCACCAAATCCGTTCGCTACTGAAACGGATGAAGATATACAAAAATACATAAAAGAAGTAGAAATGAAAACTTCTCGGCCTAGCTCTGCAGCTGCAACCGAAAAGCCGTCGAGGCAAACAAATGAAGAGAACAGCGAAGTTGAGAGTCCCGGAGTTGGTCAGCCACTCAATTAATTGCTTTAATGTTGTCCACTGAATAGTTTGACACCAGCGTTTTGAAGGTACAGTAGCGTGGTACTTCTATCCTAGATTTATTATCTTTAGATAAAGCGTCTTTGATGCAGGCAGCTCGAGAGCATCGCTTACAGCCCACTCCTGAGGCAGTGACGTCTACTTCGCTAGATGGTCCTAATAAAATTGCGGAACGCGACGGCACATTATCGTTAGATCGAACTGTTAACAGTGGTTCGTTTACGTC